CATGTTTTCTTGTTTCGTTCATGTCTATTTAAATGAGAAGTTTTTGCTAGTTTTTTTGGTTTAATTGATTTTTCGTAGCTAGTTGCAATGATAAAAACAAATCGTTAGTGGCATCCCACTTATATAACAAGGCGTCGGTGGTTTCGGAATCATCTTATTTGTTTCATGTTCATGTTTCTTATTTTTCTATTTTCTCGTTCTTGTTTCCTTTTGCTTAATTTTGAATTATTGAAATACGAGCACCGGTGACTTCCCACTTATGTGATAAAGCCATCGGTAGTTTCGTAATCATTTTGTCTGTTTTTTTCCTTATTTTATCAAAATGAAGCTGCCAAGTGGCTTTCCACTTATATGATGAAGCACTTTGTGATTTCGAAATAATTTTTATTGAATGTCCGCTTGTTTAAAACGAAGCCGATAATAGCTTCCCACTTATATGACGAAGCCATTAGTGGCTTTCAAAACAGCTTATCCGCTCCTTGCTCAAGCTAAATAAAATGGTCAATGGCTTTCCACTTGTGTGATGAAGTTATCATTAGCTTTCTAAATTCGGTACTCAAAATTGTCGACGGCTTTCCACTTGTATGAGTGAAATCGTCGATAACTCACTACTCTTGCTAATAAAAGGCTATCCATCTTTAGAAACTCACCTATTTGTTGATAATAGTTTGTGTTTACTAAAGGTGAGCACTATTCGGTTAAAATTGAAAAATTGAATCGAACCAAATTAGCAATTTTGATTTTGTTTTTCACAAAAATTTTGAAAAACAAAATCAAAATTGAAAACCAAAATTATTTTGATTCGGTTCATTTTTTTAAAAATTCGGTTTCCATCGAAAATCGAATTAGGTTTCGTTTTTTTTTTTGGTTTTTTTATATATACACTCACCCAAAGACTTCTTGCAAAAGTCTTTATATTTTATATCAATTTTTAACTCTTATAAATTTGTGATCTCCAAATATTTTAAATTATTATTTTTTAAATAAAGATCTTCTTGACTCCTAATTAATAGCGGAGTGAAGAGTTTTTTTAGAGAAACAAAAGATATTTAAATAAGATATTTCTCTATAAATAAAATGATAGAATTCTTTATTAGAGATGAAATGACTAAAACTATGAACTTTGATTAAATATGCATAAAAGTTTAAAAATTGCATCTCCAATCTCCGACCTATGTGTTTTGCCATTGTATCTAATGATGCGAGAATTTGAATATATATATATATATTAATGCAAACTCTTGGGTAAATTTGTGAGGTTAGTATTGATCAAACTAGCATGAATGCGACATGATGTTAAAACTAGAGTAAACTATAAATCAATCTTTCTAGTTTTGAAAAGAAACATAATTAATTTGTGTCAACTTTAGAGAAACTTTTAGCCACTTTGACAGGATCCATACGACATTTTGACAACGGAAAACTACTCTTCTTCTTTGACTAACTAAATATTCGGTTATCATCGGAGACGAAAGGAGTAGAACCGACCCCCGAATTAGACATCGAAACTACATAACGTTTTGGGTAAAAAATTTTAAAATCACTACACTCCTTAAAAAATGAATAAAAATGACCGAATTCATTTAGAATGTGAATGAAATTGTTGCATGAAACTTTAATATTCATGGTTTAAATGTGGTTGAAGCGAATATTTACGTAATGGCTATTTTAAAACAAACTATCATGTTTTCTTGTTTTGTTCATGTCTATTTAAATGAGAAGTTTGTGCCGGCTTTTATGGTTTAATTGATTTTTTTTAGCTAGTTGCAACGATAAAACAAAGTTGTTAGTGGCATCCCACTTATGTAACAAGGCGTCGGTGGTTTTGGAATCATTTTGTTTATTTCATGTTCCTGTTTCTTGTTTTTCTATTTTCTCGTTTCTTGTTTCCTTTTGCTTAATTTTGAATTATTGAAATAAAGGCACCGGTGACTTCCCACTTATGTGATGAAGCCATCGGTAGTTTCGTAATCATTTTGTCTGTTTTTTTTGTTTCCTATTTTATCAAAATGAAGTCATCAATGGCTTCCCACTTATATGATGAAGCCATTTGTGATTTCGAAATAATTTTTATTAAATGTCCGCTTGTTCAAAATGAAACTCGCTAATAGCTTCCCACTTATATGATGAAGCCATTAGTGGCTTCCAAAACGACTATCTGCTCTTTGCTCAAGCTAAATAAAATGGTCAATGGCTTTCCACTTGTATGATGCGAGTTATCATAGCTTTCTAAATTCATTACTCGAAATTGTCGACGGCTTTCCACTTGTATGAGTGAAATCGCCGATAACTCACTACTTTTGTCAATAAAAGGCTATCTATCTTTAGAAACTCACCTATTTGTTGATAATAGGTTGTGTTTATTAGAGGTGAGCACTATTCGGTTAAAATCGAAAAATTGAACCAAACCGAATTAGCAATTTCGATTTTTTTTTTATAAAAATTTTGAAAAAAAAATCAAAATCGAAAACCAAAATTATTTTGGTTCGGTTCGTTTTTTTAAAATTCGGTTTCCATAAAAAATCAAATTAGGTTTTGTTTTGTTTTTCGTTTTTTTATATACACACACCTAAAGACTTCTTGCAAAAGTCTTTATATTTTATATCAATTTTTAACTCTTATAAATTTGTGATCTCCAAATATTTTAAATTATTTTTTTTAAATAAAGATCTTCTATTTTTTTTAAATAAAGATCTTCTTGACTCCTAATTAATGGCGGAGTGGGGAGTTTTTTTAGAGAAACAAAAGATATTTAAATAAGATATTTCTCTATAAATAAGATGATAGAATTCTTTATTAGAGATGAAATGACTAAAACTATGAACTTTGATTAAATATGCATCAAAGTTTAAAAATTGCATCTCCAATCTCCGGATCATGTGTTTTGCCACTCGTATCTAATGATGCGAGAATTTGAATATATATATATATATATATATATATATATATATATATATATATATATATATATATATATATTAATGCAAACTCTTGGGTAAATTTGTGAGGTTAGTGTTGATCAAACTAGCATGAATGAGACATGATGGTAAAACTAGAGTAAACTATAAATCGGTCTTTCTAGTTTTGAAAAGAAACATAATTAATTTTTTTAAAAAAAATTAATTACTTAGTTTTTTTTTTTTGTTCATTTTATGTTCTTATCAACTTTTTTTTTTAAAAAAAAGCTGTTTGTTAAAAAAATAAATAGATATTTAGGAATATCAATGAATTTTTTTAAATAAATTAAATAAAATATGGTCAATACTAATAAAAAAATAAATTTGCTTGGATATCAATATTTGTGATGTAATTAAAAAAAATTATAAAAAGTGGTCTTTGAGCTTGGTCTAAGAGAAGATTCAAAATTCATAAGAAAAACTACAAAAAAATGTAAAAAAAAAAAAGGAAAATTGATTTTTTAATTGAAATTCGAATTGAAAATTTTGGTTTTTTAATCGAAAACCGAACCTCAATTTGGTTCGGTTTCGATTTTTGTTTTAGTCAATTCGGTTAACCAAAAGCTGAAAAAAAAAATCAAAACCGAATGATCGTTCTAATGTTCAATAATGACTAGTCGAAATTTCAACTTTTCTCATCTTTCCCCCTTTGAGTAAGGAGTATTGGTCTTAAGCCGGTATGAACCCCAAACTATCTTGTTTTACACTCGAGCTATCTTGTTTCATATTTTTATAAAATAAACTCATTTAAATAAACATAGAAGCATGACACGGTAAAAACTAAATTTTTATGTTCCTAGGCAAACAATACGACCTACCTTTGGTAAGACAAGATGATGGTAATATTATATCTTCTCTATACATAATCGACTCTTTACTCGGATATCTACGTAGACCGAGTACTTTTAGGATTTCTTAATTCTCTCCGATTAAATAGGTGGCGACTCCTTGTTCGGCTCCCCTCTCGAGGCCGACGTCGACAAAAACCACAAAAATTAATTAATTAATTCTAATAAAATTATGAGAGTTAGGTATAATTTACTCTTAGAAACAATAGAATTTGAGACCAATTCTACAAGTGATAAGAGATGTTGACTAAGAATAATTTCTCACATTGCTTGGAGGTAAGTGTTGTATGCTTGAAGTAAATATGTGTAGCGAGTAGTACTTGAGAATAACAACGCAGATTGATCATTATAGTGAATGCTAGTAAACTAGGAATAGAAACTACTCATCTGTCGACATTAGAACTTGCTAAACAACGGAGATCAAGTACAACCCAAGATGCGATTGCCGAGTTACAAACTCTTGGTCTTATGGAGTTGAAATTGCTCGAAAGCCTCTCAATCTGTGACCGAGTAGACTTCCTAGAGAGAACCGTGGCTTATCATCTATGATGCCGCTGCTGGTTTTGCTAATACAAAATTGATTTACCTGTTTTACACTTGAACTATCTTGTTTTATATTTTTATAAAATAAACTCATTTAAATAGGCATAGAAGCATGACCCGAGTAAAAACTAGATTTTTATATTCCTAGGCAAACAATACAGCCTATCTAAGGTAGGACGAGATTGCGATAATATTATATCTTCTTTATACGTAACCGACCTCTTACTCGGATATCTACGTAGACCAATACTTTTAGGGTTTTTTAATTCTCTCCGATTAACTAGGTGGCGACTCCTTGTCCGACTCTCCTCTCGAGGCCGATGTTGACAAAAACCACAAAGACTAATTAACTAATTCTAATAAAATTATGAGAGTTAGGTATAATTTACTCTTAGAAACAATAGAACTTGAGACCAATTCTGCAAGTGATAAGAGATGTTTACTAAGAATAATTTCTTTCATAGCTTGGAGGTAAGTGCTGTATGCTCAAGTGAATATGTGCAGCGAGTAGTACTTGAGAATAACAACGCAGATTGATCATTACAGTGAATGGTAGTAAACTAGGAACAGAAACTACTCATCTGCTGACATTAGAACTTACTAAACAACAGAGATCAAGTACAACCCAAGATGCAGTTGCCGAGTTACAAACTCATGGTCTTATGGAGTTGAAATTGCCTGAAAGCCTCTCAAGATGTGACCAGAATAGACTTCCTAGAGAGAACCGTGGCTTATCATCTATGCTGCCCCTGCTGGTTCTGCTAATACTACCTACTGAGGGAGTCCTAGAAGTTTTTGGTGTCCAACCTGGTGATTTGTCAACTACCACAACAGATCCCCCAATCTCTTTTTTAACCTCTTCTATTGCTTGTGGATTTGCTTCATACCCTGAAGCATCAGTCACGTAGAAGGAACCAACTGCTCTATCGCCATTTGTTCCAATCTCAGCCCTTGATATCGATAGCCCATTCTCGCGGAACGCCCGAGTCAAATCGGAGAGCAGTCCCATTCGGTTGTGACTGCAAATGTCCAGCCTCAATCCCTGCCGAACATAATTCAGTCACGAGTTCAAAAGGATATGGTAATTTCTTAATTGCTCTCCAAGGTGCTAGGAAAATAGAGTTCAAACATGAACAGAAGTACATACATGGGATACTCTGCGCTCAATGGCAGCAATCAAGCATTGGGTTAGTTTATGCCTTTCACTTTCTGTATCCAAAGTGCAGCCATCTTTCTGCCGAATGAAGTACTCCTGCAACATCCCCATTCCGAGCAAACATCAATCCCACAATCATCGTGCCATTTCAGTAACACAATCTTATGATCTAAGAGAAATGGATGAATTTTTGTACCTGATCGGCCATGGTGCCCTTAGAGCTAACTGCAGCATGGAACACAACGTACTGCATATCAGTTAGAGCGCAGAGTGTATCAAACAGGAGCTTCGGACGGTCTCTACACCTAACATTCACCACAGAGTATCCTTTCTCTTCACAAGATTCAATAGACACATGAATTTTTGTACAGTTATTCCTGTGTGCTACGCCTCCACCATTGCATCCCTGACATGGTTCATAATCTATGTTGGCGTACATCAACTGGTGGAGCCTCCGTTCTGTGTGGGTCTGTTGACCTGGGGCCGGAGCTGTCAGCCGCACACTCCGCCTCTCCCCCGTCCGATGATGGGCCTCAACCACGTTCTCCAACTGCTCCTGTACATGAGCTAGTCTCTTCGGATCTGTGATTGGCCCTCCTCGGAACCCATCTTCCACGTAGATTATGGAAGCTGCCCTCGTATTGTGGGTCCATGCCACGGCATTAGTGACGTGGCACTCCAACTCGGAAAGCACTGCTGATATTTCTGAGAGCAGACCTGGTCGGTCGGTCCCAGTCATCTCTAAGGCCGTGTTCTCTGTCGACACGTGTCGCGGCCTAACTTCTCTGTCGAGACAAGCTTGCAATTCCTTTGATTTCTCCCTTCTAATATTTGCACACAGTGCCTGTGTTTTTGTTTTTCATCCCTTTGTTAAGTTTATTATTAGATAGTACATGAACGTCCATATCCGTATAAGTATACAAGACTTGTTCTGTCTAGTGTATACTTATACGTATATATATGATTTGATACGTATAAATAGAGAGAGAGAGAGACCTGCTGAATGTAAAGTATGAGACTTTCGTCAGTAAGTTTGTTCCCAAGCTGATCGGTCACGTGGAATACTGCAGACCATGCAATCAAAACAAACCCGCATGAACAAAGCAAAGGCAAGATATATGATAACTGTTGGTGACTCATAAAGTTATATAAAAAATTAGAATATTTTAGTTAGAATTAATGACGAAACTAAAATATTCATGAAATAAAGTATGATTAATTTTGATAGTTTAATATAAAAATCTTACCGAAAAAATAAATTAAATATTTTAGTTGGCGTTATAATTAAAGACGGATCGGTGAAGTATATATACTTATTAATCCTTGAATCTTTTTAGCTAATACTACGAATTAAACTTGAATAAAGTTGAGAATCATTGAATACAAGCATGATGTTTGGTTGGTGGGAAATAGGCACTGACCGTCCATGAACCATCTCCCGTCAGAGGAAATATATGATTTGGATATAAGAAGGTCAAGATCTGTCAAGACTTGGACCATCTCTAATAGAATCCCGGGCTTGTTTGCACTGTCAACCTGCAACACAAAGCAAGCAATAACCAAACACGTAAACTTCTCAATTTTAATGAAACCTTTTGGTTACGAATTAATTTAAAAGCAAATTCCAAATGGGCATGCGAAAATTTCCACGAAAACTAGGTTACATTGCAACTCTTTTTCACTCGTTTGCCCGTGACCTTTCCAACTTCTGGGTGTTTCCTTTTTCCAATTCCTGTGACTAGGTTCGTTTGTTTTGCAACTAGATTACGTCATGCATATGTGTGGCTGGCAGCAACATGTAGTTTTGTTAAGACGAGTCATCACTCCATGCATAATATATATAAAAAAAGCCTCATTATAATTAATCGAAACTAAATCACACATAAACTAGAAACTACTGGGCATACACCCAGTGGGTAAGAGAGAAAGCAAATGGGATCTCGATCTCATTTTCTGTCATCCTCAAGCTAGAAACTATCAAGAGATCAACATAGGTCTAAATAATATGCAATTCAGTGCATCAATACACATAAAAATGTAATCACAAAGAAAGTTTAGGTAAAGGTATGGAATTAATAACCTTAACAAGAGTGCAATCTTTGTATGTTTCATTGTCTATGCAAACTCTGCAACACCAAATTAAACCAGACAGCAGAATCAAACAAATGATCATATATGTATATATTGAAGAATTCAAGATTGTAAATCATAAAACTACGTACTTGGGAGGATAAATTCTTTCAATGAGGGAATCAAACTCGGGATCGATATAAGGCTGATAAGTGGCCATCTTCTTCGTAGTTAGCAGTAGTGCTCCAGATCATCAGTTTTCTGTGCATAATATCATCATCCTTTACGATATATATAGAAGAAAAAGAAATTAAGGAACACGTTAATCACTTAATACAATACAATATATATATATAAAAACTTATATATATATGTAAACGTAGGGAGGAAGGAGGAGATAAGATAGCGGCTGTCTGAATAGTAGTTTCTTAAGACTTAATTTATAAAGTTGATTATTGAAAATTTACAGCACATTAACAGAAATGTCGTCTCAATTCGTTTCTTCTTTCTTTCTTTCTTGTGTTTGAATCCATCTTTCATTCAAATACACAAATGACAGATCATATCACACACACACACGTATATATAAAAGGCTGCGAGAGGAATTTGGTTTCATCAAGAACTCTACAAGAAGAGTGCTAGTTTTTCAAGAAAAAGAAAAGAAAAATAAATCAAGAATACCAATATTAAAACTAATTCTTGAATATAGAGAAGAAGAAGAAGAAGGGAAAATAGAAAAAGAAATTACCTTGTGTAAGAGCAAATCATAGACGAAAAGTTTTGTATTGTATTGAATTAAAGGTGAGCAGAGATGGAAAAGGAAGCATAGGCAAGCCCTTCGCAGAGGAGGAGTGTGGTCAGGCTATATCATTTTATAGCATTTTCTTGGTACTAGAGCTATATATAGCAGCGGCCCAAGCAAATGGAGACGAGTCAATTTAACAGAAACTCTTCCCAAACTTGGAAATCCACCTTTTATTTTCTTGCTCTTTTTTTCCTTTGTATCAGTAGCATATTTTATCTGTTTATTTCTTATATTTTCTTGATGTTATCTTTCTTTTTTCTCAACACGCATCATTCATTCCATAAAATTCAGGTCAATTGTTCAATAATAAATAATAAATAGAATCCTATGTTATATAAAAGTGATATATAATAAAATTTTATCATTTTATGCATTAGTTTTATATGATATATTGGTTTATTTATTATTTTAATTTGTTTTAATTAAAGAGTTTGTAATTCAAGAATAATAATCTTTCATAATAAGAAATCAAGAGTTTAAATCCTAACAAACTAATTATCCTAAAATAAAATAGAGTAATTCGACAAATAAAAAAAATGAACAACTATATTAAAAAAATCTAAAGATTATTAGGAGGAATGATGCAATTAATCCTTTTTTGTTTTTTCTATATACCTTTTATCCTTTTTGGGTTTCCTTGTGAATTTAAATGCAACGTGTTTGCGCAGGATTAAAAGGTTACCTAGGACTAGGACTTAGACTTTCATTGGGTCTTCGCCACGTATGCAGTTCGTGACACGTGGAAGTTGGTTTGCGGCGGCTTGTTTTCGAAGGATTGGACACGTGGTTGTCAAATTAAGGCTAGTTTTATTCGGATGAATTTATAATGTGTTCCTATTGTTTAGAGGAAAGAGAGAGAGAGTTTAGGCACTATCCATTCAAGAGCTAAGAAAGCTGACTTGATCCGATTAGTGGCATTCGGATTCAAAACGTATGGAGATATTTTTATGAGAAATTTTAAAATATTTAATAAATAATTAATAATATTTATTTTATAAATTTATTTTGTCAAAAGAGAGAGACAAAAAAATATTTGTTCCGTATAAAAAAAGTCTAAAAAAAAAATTAAGAGAGAGAATTAAAAAATAATCGAACATAGATGGAAATGCTTTTATTATTTTTGTGGCTTCAATGTAATTTTTTTTTATATCTCTATTCTAAAATAGATATATGAAGTAAGTATGGTTAGTTATTGAATTAAAAATTCTCATTAAATTTGATGATTAATAATTCTAAAAAGAGATATTTAAAAAAATTATTAAAATTATATATTAATTAATAACTCTCTTAATTTAGATAAAAAAAAATCAAATATGACAATTTTTTTTTTAAGAACAAAGGAACCATTGAATTGGAGGTGGCAATGACATACTCATTTGCAACTTGCCAAGCCATCTATCCATGTCTTTTTTCTTTTTCTCTTTCTTTTTTTATGAGGAAAACCATTGATTCATTTTTAAATAATTCTCTTTTCTTATGCGATTAGAAGTATTGGGTTCAAACTTCATTAAATAAAATTATATTGGTTAAATGGATCAAACTTCTCATGAATTTTAACTCATTTAAAATTGAATTCCTAATCTTTAAATTTGATTTTTGAACTGAATTTTTTTGATTTTTTTGAGATGTAATCCATCCAATGATTTTCAGCCATTACCTTCCATTTAAAAATATTCAATTCTTGATATTTTGAACTAAATTTTTACACACATATTAGATAAATCCAATCTATTTTCTAGAAAAAAAAACACAATTTTTCAAAATAAAAAAGTATATTTATTCATTTATTGAATATTAAAAATTTAGAAAATAAAATAAATATAAAATAATTGAAAATGATCCTAAATTTTTATAGAAGCCTTATATAAATCTCACTTGAATAATTTTAATTATGAAACTACTTGTATGATTTTTATTTTTGAGATGAATGACAAAAAAATTAAAAGATGAACTAAAGTTCAAAAAATTAAAAATTTAAGGATTTTATAAACCAAATTTAAAGTTCAATTACTCTAATTTCAAATAAGTTAAAGAATCGTTTAACTTATATAACTTTGAGCTTACACGTAATTTGCCAAATCATAATAATTAGTATGTTTTAGTATTATCAAAATTTTATAATATTCAAAAAATAACTAGTATACATGTATAGTAATTATTTTATATATCGATTTTAAAAAGAGAGAGAAATTTATTAAAAAAAAAAAGAAAATTACATCCGAATTCATAAAAAGTGATAAAAAGTTTTCCGTCCTCACTCAAAATTTTTTTTAATTTTCTCTCTCTTATTAATGTCTATCTTTCTATGAAGTAACTTACATTAATTACTTCTTAAGTATTATAAAATTTCAATCAACCTTATATTTAATTATTTTTTTATTTTTATTTTTTGAATTCAAATCTCAAAAAAAAAAAAAACAAATTATTAAGTTTCTTTAAATACACCATACCTATGTGGGAGTACCTCTTTAAAATCATCTCACTAAAAATTATTTTTAATATCAATTAACCTAAAAATATTTTTATCTTAAAAAAATTATTTATTTTATTGAAAATTGAGTGACCCACCAGAACCAATACTAATAAGAATAAGAATAAAATCTAAAATTCAAAATAAATAAGTTGAGTAAATATATTTAGTGGCTATTTGTTGAACTTTGAAGCTGATCGTTTCTCCTCTCTCCTGTCCAGAAACAGAAACCACTTCCTGCACGTGCACACATAAACTTCCCTTTCCTTCACGGCAAACCGACTTGTTAATCTCAGTCTGCAACCGCCTTGACATCATCATTCCCTTCTCTCCGTCTTTCTCAGCTTTGCCTTCTTTTTTAAGCAACCAAGAAGAAGAAGCACCATTAACAATATTAGTGAAGTTTCTTGCAAAGCTACTACTGTGTCTTCTTGATTTGATTCTTCAATTTTATCTATCATCAAATGGACCTGCAGTTGGTGCAAAAGGGTCTTCTTGATTATACCAGAAGAAAGAAGAGGTGGGCTCTTTGGTTAGCAGCTCTTGGTTTCTCTACTTATACTGCCTATAAAGTTTATCACCTTCCTTCAGTATCTGCTAAAAGAAAGAGAATTTCCAAAATTTTTGGAGCTTTAATTGCTATTGCAGAAGTTATCTCTGATTCTGCTGAAACTATTGGGTTTTTTTCTAAGGATCTTAAAGATTTTGTTCAATCCGAATCAGACCAAATTCCCAATAGTTTGAAGCAAATTTCTAAAGTGACAAGGTCAAATGAGTTCTCTGATGCACTAGTTACCCTTACACAAGCTTTAACTATGGGAATTTTGCGTGGTTATCAATCCAATGCTAGAATTCATCATGATGCTGGTGCTAATGGGAATGGAAGTCCAAGTTTCCTGGATAAGGTTTTTGACAAGCTTGCTTCTCCAGCTGGGTGTGGTTTTGTTTCTGTTGTTGTTGGAAGCTTTGCTAGGAACTTGGTTATGGGCTTTTATGAAAGTGGTCTGAATTCAAATTCAGATTTGAATGCTGGTGGTGCTGGTGGTCATGATTCTGTTCAAAACTTGGTGGATGCGGTTTGTAGTGATAAGTGCAAAGAGCTGATTGGTGATTGTATTCAGTTATTTGTGAGCACGGCAGTTGCGGTTTACCTTGACAAAACTATGCATATCAACACCTATGATGAAATTTTTGCAGGATTAACCAATCCCAAGCATGAAACCGAAGTGAGAGAGGTGTTGGTATCAGTCTGTAATGGTGCAATCGAGACTCTTGTCAAGACATCTCATCAAGTTTTGACAACTGATGATTCTAACACGAATTCGAGTTTCGATTCCCCTTGTTTGGCTATTGATCAAGGAGAAAGAGCAATGGAGGATGAGCTCTCTGGGAAGGAATCATATTTTAGTGAATCTAAACCAAGAAAATCATTTGATGAGGCTAAGGAGAATGGGTGGGTTAATAAAGTGTCATCTACATTGGCAGTCCCAAGCAACAGGAGGCTTGTTCTCGATGTGACTGGGAGGGTGACATTCGAGACTGTTCGGTCTTTCCTGGAGTTTCTTCTGGGGAAGCTATATAATGGAATAAGGAGATGTGTTGCTGTTGTTCATGAAGTTGTTGTTGGCTGTGGTCTTGAAGTTGTGAGATATGTCAATACAAAATCCTCTGTTATTGCAACTGCATGCATTTCTTTGTGCTTGCACATATTGGATGGTGATTTGGTTCTGGTTCCAGCTTAAGTTGTTGAATGTCTATACATCATTTGTCATTGAATTCTCTCAACTCTTTCATGCAACTTTATGCATGAAGGATGTGTTATGTATCTAATTTCTTCGTACAGATCAATTCATCTCCTCATACCATAAGAAGAAAAAGGTTATTTGATGATTCAAAATCTTGCTTGTTACCACAAAAGTTTCTTGTGTTTAACCCCTTTCGGAACTGATGCAATACTTGTATTTGTGTGGCAATATCGAAGAGAATGCATGTTCGGGTAAAAGAAAACCAGTAGTTGTTTAATGGCAACAGTTCCTACTATCCTTATACATCCTTAAGATGGACAGGAATGTGGTCTGATAATTACTTTGTGATGACAAAATCCCGTCATTGTGACTGGATGCATTACTTTGTGCTTGCACATATTCGATACTGCTTGTGTTTTGGTGCCAGTTTAAATTGTGAATGGTTCTGTATCATTTGTCATTAATTTAGTGATCTCTTTCAAGCAGCTTTATCTCTGAAGGATGAACTCTTATCTAGTTTATTCTTGTAGCGGAGTTCATCTAATTTAAGCCATAGAATTAAGGAAGTTATTTTGATGGTTTAGTGATGCTCTTACCATAGAAATTTCTCCATGTTTATCCTCTCTTCTGGCATTGTTGTAAAACTTGTCTTCGTTTTGGTAATGGTCAAGAGAGCATATCCGTGGGCAATGAGCATATAGTAATGTATATGGTTGAAGAAGTTTGTAAGCAGGAAACTCACCTGCAGGCATGGTTTTATCTTGTAAATCTATGCATACCATGCATATGAATTGCATTTACATGATTCAATTTTTTTTTTTTTCGATTTCTCACTGGCTTCGTATAGATTTTCAAGTTATGAAAGAAGACTTCATCGGCAGATTTTACTTGTAATGGCATCAATTTCAACATGTTGATTGTAGACCTCCCCTAGTAATGTTTTTGAATCGACTATTGTGACTATGAGGAGCAATGCAGTGCCTGCTACAGATGGACTAATAATTTACTGCAGTTCATTGTTCAAGTTTACTTTCGACTTCGTAACCTAAAGGAATTCACAAAGCATTCTCTCAATAGCATCAATGGTGCTATCAGAGAGCAGAAAGGAGCACATCCAGGAGTGTTGGTATTGGCATTTTAACATGGTTTAGAGTAACTTTCTAGATCATGCTATGATTCTGTTTTGCATGTTCAAACTTTCTGATATATGTTTCTTTCCAGTTATAATTTCCCAATCCTGTTAGGCTGCAACAAACTTGTACATTACTGGCAAACGCTTATTGGTCTTGAATCATTACATGAAGTTCACGGCAGTATGTCAAATTTTTGGATTGTATCTATACCTAGAAAGCAAAGGAAGTGGCAGAATTTCTAGTAGTTGCATGTTTTCTCATGAATTGGGGCACGGCAATATGCCTTTTTCTGTTTGAAGATTTCCTTTTTTCAACATGGTGCAAGTCTTTTGGCAAGATTTGGGAAACTTCTGCACGTACGCATCTGGATTTGGATTTGCACGTTCTTGTTGAGGAATTATTTCCCTGATATTGGGGTTTCCTGGGACCCCAACTTGTTGCTTAATCATAATGTCTGTTTTTCGTTTACATCATGCCTTTCAGCTTCCATGCGTTTATATATGTCTGAAGAAGATAAGTTCAAATCAATTGTTAATAAATTGTTTCATGGATTCAACTTCAGAAAGGAGGAATGAAATCATTGGTTAATGGTCGCTAGCATCATTCTTTAGGCAATATACATAGATAGCTGAAGTGAAAAAGTAAACGGTTGTTAGAAGCTTAAGGTAGAAATGAACAGAAGGGATCAATGTCCAACATCAGGATCAGTATAGAATACATGAGGTGTCAATAGCTTACGGCATCACAAAGCAAGCAAAGTTCAATTACATTATTTAATGGGAAGTGCAGTTCAAGGGCAGGTATGAGGCAAAGGTTGCTTAAGTTTTTCTCCTTTGACCAGAAAACAAGCAATTGAACTTATCCATTCGTCCCACAGATGTAGCTGGGACCCCATCTTATCTAAATGTAGCATCATGTGCCAGATTCTACATGGTATCAATCGAATAAAACATGTGAACACATAATAACCCTCTTCAGCAAGCAAACTGGAAAACTGATCTCTCTGCTCTCGTAATGAAGGGATTCCGAGTACTGTCTGCTAGGTCGAGCTTGTGTCAGTCTCTTTTGCAGCTGCCTCTTCCTCAAGCTTCTTTTTCCAGTATTCATCAAGTGGGGGTCCAAATATTGCCTTCCCAGAAACAACTCCAATGCTGCAAAATCCAGACATAGTCATTCCCAAAGCATAAAACTTGTTAGTGTAAAATCAAATAAAACAACATGAAAAGTTCGATTTGAAGCGTGATAGGGGAGAGGTCATATTAACAGAACATTGAGGTCATCACAAAGCTATGTCATTGTGTTGTATATTGCAAAAATAGTTTCAGATAAAATTCTTCGTCCAATTTTGACATAACATCCCAGTAAAAATCAGCAAACCACAGCTCAGACAAGCTCAAAGTTCACCAGGATAGTTTAATCAAGTAAACTCAGAAGAAGCCATAAGTGGAGGGCTATTCAATTCTTGGGAGAAGCCAAAAGGGAGAACAAGAATTGCATTCTGGCTTCTGTTTGTAAATTTCCTTGATACAAAGTTGTATTTTAAAATCCTAACAGAACCTTAAAAAGGAAGTACAATTCATCCAAAAGCAGATAGTTCAGTTCCAATAGTATGAGATGCATTTCTGCATTAATCTCCTCTTTCCACAATATCTCTAAGATTATACAAACTGTTCAACAACGAAAAATGAAAATTACAAGTAACATTGAAAAAGACCATCAAATTTCTGTAAAATGTAGTGCCTGAAAAAAATTCCATATGGACAACAATAATTCCAGTGCAAGCATAATGATTTAAAGGAAAGTCATAATACAGATGGCATATATCTTTTACACTCGGTGCAGCAAAACTGCCCAAAAGCGAGTAGAACAATTAAATTCCAGGAAAAAGGAAAAAAGAAAAAAAGTTTAAGAGTCCAAAGAAAATATAACTACAGGAATTACTGTGTGTGATTTCGTCCACTTCGATTTCATTTTCTTGCACCGTATGTTTATTGAAAATGTGCTAAATGGATATTTTGCAGCCAAATTACCTGATACAGATTTCAAGTAAATGCAGAACATCTTTTGAAGTCAGAAGATGCAAGCTTTCGGTTTCAGTAGAAAACATAATATTTACTTCATAGTTAGAAAAGCCAATACTCCCACAGAAATAGAGGGAATTGGATGAAATGGATGAGAATCAATGATATCAAGTTATATTTTTAACAGAAAACTCACATTTTGGCAATCGTAAGCTCCAACCAGTGAAAGTTTTTTCCCCCTTGACTGCCATTATCCACACTTTCAGGCTATTGGGTTGTTTCAACAACTAATCTAATAACAAGGATTTCGACCTCCAAAAGATTCCTTAAACTCAGAATCAATGTGAAATCTAGTTAAAAAGAAACGCACATCAACTGTCCAAAATGTTCCCATCCTAGTTAACACATTTAAACTCCATCTATCTGTATAAAGAGGTAATGGGTCCTAAATTATCTGATCTAAAGGGCTAAATTTAGTACACATGCTTGCTTGTGTGACCAAAAGACGGCTAGAAAATCCGAGCAACATAAACAGGAAGTGAGAAACTAAATATATATGTGGGAAAAGAAACAAGGTAAACGTAAAGAAAACTTACACAACAGCTCCAATCACCAGAGGAAATGAGAGAAACCTCCTTCTAAAGAACATAATTTTCAAGAAAAAAATTGGATTCAGAGAGATTAACGACCCTCTCTTTCTTGCATTTGGATGCTGCTCTTCAATTTCAATTTCTGGGTTTTCCTCACGGTATCTCTGCCTTTCAAGGGTTTTAGATTTTAGCAAATTTTTGGCTCAAATTAAAGATGGGCTTCCAAATTATTAGAAGTATTTTGTATGGCATTATGGGCCGGACTTGGCCTAACCTTATCGTTTACTTGCAGTATAATAATAGCCCACGGCTACTCTATAAGCTGATCTAAGGATATGGGCTTTATCCCTTGTGGAAAACGAACGGCAAATCAGTTTGGAGTCAACCGTTAGTCTCCTAGGTAGATGAGTTCTGTACATATATGTTAAGTTAGGCTGTGTCTGGGCCGTGGGCTGGCTCCTTCCCAAGGCCACAGGGTGTGCTGGTAGTAGGTGTTTCTGGGCCGTCTTGGTCCTGGTTGGGAGTGCAAAGCCTATGAAGAGATTCAGCCCAGTCAGTATCCAAGTAGAAATTGTGATCATCTGGGTGCAGCCCTGGTGGACATGGACACGGAGGATGCCACGGCTACATCCGGGATTATTAAGATATATTTATTTGAAATGCCAAGCCATCGCTGCCGACATGAATATAAAATAACTTTTAAACTTGAAGAACAATATAATAAATTATTTCATTCTTTGTCGTCTTGAATTCAACTTAAAATTATTTTCAAATTCTAAACTTTTTTGGTATTATAAGGAAAGTCGGACTAGTAATTTTGAAAAAAATAAATGGTGATAATAACAAACTTAATGGTAAGTTTAACAACACTCTAATTTTAAATCTACTTATAATTTAATTATTTTTAATTTATTTTAATTTTTTAAGAAATAAAAAAAAGTAAAAACTATTCAAAGAGTGATAAAAAAAAAGTCATTTAAAAACATAATATTAAATCAATTATAGTCAACATTAATAATAATTAATTAGTATTTTTTTTTGAAAAGGACTATTTTAGTCATTTAGGTAAAACTAGAAGGACTGATTTATTACTAATAAACTAAAAGAGGTAGGGTTTTTTAACGAGTGGCAACGCTGTTTACTCCCTCACAATGTATTGTTCACTCATGTTTTTTTTTTTTTTTTGTAATTTTGTTTTGGTCCTTAAAATTTTAATCCCTAAAAAACGCACTACATGCCTTTTCTTTTCTTTTTTCTTTGGTTTTTTTCCTTTACTTTTTTTCATTAATTTATGTTTTTTTTTTTTTAAATTATTTCGTTTAGGTCTCTAAAATTTTAAAATAAAAATTTTAATCCCTAGCTCATGCACTACATGCCTTTTCTTTTCTCTTTTTCCTTTGCTTTTTTCCATAAATTTTTGTTCTTTTTTGTTATTTAATTAGGTGTTAAAATTTTTAAAAACCAATCGTTAGTTTTTTCTATACAAACTAACGATTATATAATATATACGATATGTTTTTATATTTTAAAATAAATATATACCACTTTTATTGTTTAAATTTGATCTTTTGAATTTATTATAAAAATTATCATGAAGTTAATTTTTATTCTTATTTTTTATATAATTTTATTTATTAATAAATATGATTTATTTTCTCTACGTATGGATTCGAATAATTTTTTTTTATATATCAGTTTTTATTCGCTTGATTCTTATATTATCAAATTTTTAATATAAAATATATGTATTTTATTTTCTTATTCTTTATAAAATCAAATTTTATCGAAATCAATTTTATAGTTTTTATTACACTATATGAACTTCAATATACATTCTCATCCATTGAGTCGGTCATGATGTATAAAAAATAATAATATTAGAGTCATTGATTTTTATTAGAAATCAACTATACATCTACACACACAACATCAACTATTTGCTATTAGTTTTTTATATTTTAAAATTAATTTTTTCAAATAAAATAATTAAAATAATATTTTAGAATAATTGCTTAATAATTCAAATAAAATTTTGTATACTGATATTATTTATTATTTTGTAAATAAATTTATCTAAAATCAAATATACATATTTAAAAAAAATAATCTTCTCATCAACAAAAAAGCTTCATTTTTTAAATTTCATACAATTTTTTATATTAATTGTTGCTTTTATTTCTTTGATGTAATGTTATCCAAAAGAATATTAAGAATTTTTTTAATTTTATATTAAAATTTGTTTGTTATGGGTTTTTATTTAGGAATAAATGCATAAGAAAGAACAAATCTTTTTTTTTCAAAATTTATTCAAAACATTAAAAAAAATGTATAGATGCAAATTTTGATTAAAAATTATAAAATTAGATAATATTTTATCTTTTATATTTAATTTAATATATTTTAGTTAACCGGCAACATAATATATATTATCAAACTGAAATAAATATATTTTATTCAATCCGTAGCATAGCGCAGAAATCCAAACTCGTTCATATGCTTAAAATTCCTATTCACTTACCGTTTATATGGATAAAATTACTATTCACTTGATGGCAATTTAAGTAATTTTTATGTGTGGTTTTTTTTTTTTTTGTGTTTTTGGGCATTAATATGCAAATATAACACTTTTTTCTATTTTGGTCCCTCATGTTGTAACATTATTTTTCAATCCTTAGCTTTCATTTTTTTTTTTTTTGTGCAGCTTGTGTGTGTGTGTGTGTATTATTCTAAAAGGTTAAAAGTATGTTTCAAATAATTTGTTTCGAGTTCACTAAGTATGGTTAAAATGTATAAAAAAAAACTATTGAATCATTTTTTTTTATTAAAAATTAACCATACATCTTCTAACATAATACAACTTATTTACTAAGAATATTTTTTTAACATCATAAAACTAATTTATTTGAAATAAAATAATTAAAATAATTTTTTAAGGGAACTAACCAATTATTCAAATATTTTTTATGCTAATTTTATTGATAATTTTGTAAATAAATACATATAGATCAAATGCATATACTTTTTTTAAAAAAATTCTTCTCATCAACATTAAATAAAAATAAAAATTTATTTTTTCATTAGTTAATTTTTATTTAAGTCTATACATTAATTGTAACTTTATATTTTTAATATATTCTTATAAAAAAATATATTTTTAAAGTATTTATTTTTTAATTCTTAGTTAATATTTTAGGTTTAAATTATTAAAGGTTTTTATTGAAGAATCCCTAATAAAGAAGAATTAATCATGTTTTTTTAAGTAGAAATTTTATGAAAAACACACACAAAAAAAACTAATAATTAAATGAAAAATTATAAAATTTTGAAATGATTTTATTCTATCAACTTAGAGCGTTGCGTAGATAATTTTAAAAAGTAATCTTCTCATCAACATTAAATAAGAATTTTTTTTCATTTTTTGGTTTTTATAAAAGTCTATCCATTCACTATAATTTTATTTTTTGTAATACAATATTATGAAAAATATATTTTAAAAGTTTCTTTTAATTCTCGATTAATATTTTAGTTAAAATCAATTCATAAAGAAGAATGATTTATGTTTTTTTTTAAAGTAAAAAATTCATAAAAAAACATTAAAAAAATTAATTGAATTAAAATTATAATTAAAAGATTTTAAAATTTTAAAATGATTTTATTCTATTAGACTTGTAGCGTAGTGCGGGTAATTGACTAGTAACTTACTATATCAAGTTGCTACTATACATATTTTACTAATAGCTACAACTTGATAATTGAATTCACACTATATTTATGCAAAAAATACACACACCCGCCAACTTTACAAACATTCAAAGGCCTCTCTTTCGTCACTTTGACCATCAACCTTCAAAGAATCAATGCTAGCTAGTTGACTCGTGGAACATCTTTATCTATGTTTGTTATTGTATATTAGAAACCAATAATAATGATAATAATTGCCATCCAAAGTTTATGAGACTCTCAAAAATTTATGATTGTTGAAAATTTTATTTATTTGAAAATATGAATTATTATTATTAATGTTGAAGTCGTCACCTAATATTAAAAGTAACTAAAAACTTAAAATGGACATTGGTTCGAAATGTTCGGTAAGAAATTGATTGCATTTTTGGCAAGATAATCAATCATCCAAAAGCATGCTTTCCTAAGAAAAGTATCACGTCCGTTTTAATCCTAAATTTTATCTCCCAAAAATTTCTATTTTTGCCAAAATTAATCCTAAATCAAAATTTTATGTGTTTATTTCCTATGCCAAACTAATTTTTTATTTATTTATTTGTGGTATCATATTGAATCAATTGTCGGATCTCGCCATCGGAGTCTCATCAATTCAACATCGGATCCAGTTTAATTCTCGACATAGCTAATATGTCAAAGAATGACCTAATTACTAAAATATGATTGATTTGAGCTAACATCATCTAACATCGCTTTTATTAGATAGTAGACTTTGTTAACTTTTCACATAGTATTTTCTATATTTTTTTTGTTCTTTCTTTTTTTTTATCATTTATTTTATTTTTTCTTTCTCATCAATTTTTTTTTTAGTGTTGATAGAGAGTCGTTATCGATCCCTAAAAAATAAGAGATTTGATAACTCATCCACCTATTAATTGTCTAATCTAATCATTGAAATAAAACCCGAAAATCAAACATTTGACTAAGTGAATAAATAAATGTAAAAAAATCAATAATTCAAAATATTAAACCTAAACTAAAAGGTGTGTATTACGAATTTCGTGGCTGATTTATCGAGAAAAGTGGCTAAATTAGGGGTATTGGGTTCTTTAGGCTTAGTGAGCCTTCGGCATATTCGATCGAGCTCGCTGGGTCGGCCAACCTCTTTCTCTCGTTTTTTTTTTTCGAGCCTAGGCTAGGCTGAAATAAGCCTAAGCCTTGGTCATTCGAGCACCTTTCATGCAAGTCGGGCTTAGCCGACCCTTTTCCTATTTCATTTTATTTTAGCCGGACCTAACCCATTCATTCTAAAAGTTTTCCAATTCATTCCCAAATCAAGATCGATCAAAACCCCAAGTCATTGCTCTTTCTTCCCTTTTCT